CTAGTATGTGAGGCTTGTGAGCCTAGTCCAAATACCCAATCGCTCAAGAAATATTTGTTCAATATGTTAGTCTTAACATTTATACCCTGATTCTGATGCTGAAAAGAGGGCAGTTACATTTGTAGATGTGGGATGCACAAGGGACAGGCATACCTCACTTACTGAATCTTACTTTTGAGTTCTCTTAGAATAGGATGAAATTCGAAGAGAAGGATCACTTCCCGGGGCATTGACAGAATTATACAAGTCTGTCGATAGGGCAAAAATGTGTTACATGTACATGTAATTCCATCTTTTACATAAAGCTTTTAGCAAATGGAATTAGAATTTTAGATATCTGGGGTGTTATTCTGGAGAGAAAAAACAACAACTACATGTACATGTATGTGTTAGTGGATATACATGTACATATTTTCATTTACAAATCAAATTTAGGACAAGTCATATATTCATCTATGCAAAGTTGGCTGTGTATGTGTACATGTACAGTATGTATGGAGGTAACTGTGCAAGCATACACTGTACTACATGTGTTTACTCTTTGACAATTCTCCTACTTTTTAAAAACACAAAATAGTTTTCAAAATTTAGACCCAGGTACCCAGGAATTACAATGCCAGTATAAATGTAGACTGGCTTTGCCGCCATATATAATTTGCGTTCATTTCCCAAGTTTAATCGGCCTTGTGTCCTTAAAATTGTTTAATGATGGTACAAATGAATGGAAACGGAACGGTGAAGAATAATTAACACATCACCATGCATTAATCGTCGTTGAATACAGGTATATGTAGGTGACCCTGGTAATATTTTACCAGGATATTGCCGTGTATGATGAGGAAGAAGGGATTTAGCGAATGAGAAATACTTGATGGGAAATGTGCGAATGCCAAAGGTACTGGCAGATCAGCATGCATAAACGGCTCTCCTCCACAGGTTCTACACTGTCTGCATAAATTATGCGGTAGGTTGATCAAGGGAGATGGGGCTTTATGCTGATTCAACAGATTTTTTGAATTTTTTCATGGTCTGGATATGATCTGCATACGTGTGCATGCATGAAAGCTTTGGTTGTTATAAAATATGCAAACTTCATGTAGAATTTAGTGTAAATTAGCATTTTATGTGTTTGTTGAATCTAATGGCTTGTTGTTCAAGTGGCTTATTCTTCTAATGGGCAGCTGTGTTGGAATCGTTTATTTTTTTATGGAAATTCAGTGCCCAAAAGGCAATGTGTACATAATAGTGATGGTTGCCACAGTCATCTACATTGTACAGGTAGAATTTTTCACTGCTCATTGGAAGTTTTAAAGTTGTGTGTGTAACATTCAGCTCACATGTATGTTATGTAATCCAGTGAGACTATCTACTGCAGATGATGATGATGTAAAGCGCATTGAGAGGGCCTGAAATGCGCTATATAAGGACAAACTATTATTATTATTATTATGTATTGATACATGTATCTCAGCAAGGGAATATAATTGAAATATCTCCCCTTAATTACCTTTCAATACAAATATCTTTAAATGTTTTAAAAGAGACTGGCATTGAATTAAGAAAGACTGAAATCTTTTCTAATTTGTGGATAAAATGATGAGAACAAGCTTCTGTATTGTGATGTCAACCAGTATGAAATTTGTAGATATTCTGTCAAATTAGTATTAAACATCATTTATTCAGCATCATCAAATTGTACATATAGTATTTTGATAGGGAATGGATATGCAGTTGAAGTTCTGTGCTGGTTCATAGACTTGATTATTGCAGTAGAAGCACTGGGACATCAGTATGTCATCATCAGCATTAGATAGTAATGCTGAATTTACATTCAAATGTTAGTAAACTATTTGAATAACTTCTAAATGCAAATAATGTATTTTGGTTTTAATTTGTATCTTGTCCCTTTCTTGTCATTAGAATTTGATAATGTTGAAGGCATTTTGAAAATGTACCTGTAGCACAAGAGTATAATGTTTGTGATTGTGTTACGTGCACAGTAAAACATCTAGTGATCTTGTTATACCGTAAATAGGCATTTTAAGTTTAGTAAACATTGAACTAATGGACACAATTAATGAGAATCTGAGTTGTGAAATAGAAAAACGTCTATATTAGCCCTCCTTTTAACTGAAATTAGAACTGTACATTGTTCATGCATTTCTCCAAGAGATTTTGGTACATGAACATTACACTTTGTTTATTTCATGGTTTACACTCTTCCCATTCACATGCATTTAATGCTGTATGTATTTGCTCAGTGAGGCTTAGCTGTATTGATATACATGTAGACTCACTTATTAGATGAGATGGGACATGACACTTCTCTATGCAATCCACTTAGCAAGTTTAAGTGACTTCTTTACCATCCTCCTCCCAAACCATATGATATACAGTACATGTAGCCGTGGAGTCTCAGAGTGCTTGGCATGCCAGACTGGAATAGCTATTTTTTAGGGTCTGCTTGCTTGCTTGCCCACATGGCAGGTATCGGTGGGAGTTTTATCTGACAAACGCTGGGAGGGGATGAGATGCAATATGTCATCATACTATGACTGGTGATCAGCTCCCTTGTATATAAGTTTACTTGTCATAATACTTTTCAATGTGAAAGACCCTGCTGGCTGAAACTCAAATTTAAAAAATTGTACTTATACATGTATCGTATTTGCCGGCGTAAAGGCTGCAGTTTTTTCGGAAGAGAAAATATAAAAAGTCTGGGGGCAGCCTATGCGCAAACAACTCAAAAATCAGAAGTCAAAACAGCACGTATTTGTACGTATGTGGGACTAAATTCAAACTCGTACACTAAGTACAATGACTATACCAATGGTACAGGACATTTCTAGATATTGTTGACATGAAGTTTTGTCAATTTCTTGAATAAACTTCATAACTTATTATTAACCAAAAAATACCTGTAGATCTAGGTTTGTGCCATCGCTAAAGCAACCTCAATCCTCGCAGCCCGTGCGCGCCAAGTTATGGCGCAATACACAATCGACAGTGTAACTGCGGCTGGCGAGAAAGCTGAAATAAGACGCCATCTGGCTTGCTGCCCATGGTGTCGGCAAAATTTTTTTATATTTTTTTAAAAAATTAAAAAAAAAAAATTGTCTACGAAATGTCAAAATCGGGGGTGTGGCCTATATGGCGCTGCGGCCTTAGTAAATACGGTATCTACACTGTACTAGCATATTTTACATCCGAGCTATCTGAAAAATGCTGGAAGGGATTTAGAAGCAATGTGTCAACACAGTCAAGAGAATCTACCGTCTTATCTGGTCATTCGCTCTCTTGTGTACATCATACACATTATCATGTTTTACCGTACATACATGTAGATGTTCATGCGTGTCAGATATCCTACTTTTGTCGTAGCCCTCGATGATAGAAACTGCCATGTAAAAATCTGCCTGATATTAATCTATAAAAGCCATTTATGCAAGCTATGTGACAAACATTTGAGGGGTTGAGCAGCAGTGTGTCAACACAGTCATTAGCATGTAATTTGGTCATCTGCTCCCCCATGTTCATCTGCTCCCCCATGTTCTCTATATTTCTGTAAATGTGCATCAACTTTCTTTGAAAACCCCTGATGATTGAGAAGTTAATGAGAACTGCGATCTGTCCAGATATTGCATTGAAACACTGACCATACAAGCAACATCAGTGTGCATGTGTATCTAACAGCCATGGAATGGGTTAAAGGTAAAGACCAGTAATGGTCATGCGATTGCATTGTGAAAGAAACGTTGTGGAATCGATCAGAAAAGGTTGATCATCTAGCATCTAGCATCTGCAAGGTTCTGGAATCATCAAAATGATAAGAAATTTGGCCCATTCTTCGTAAAGTTACAAGCACTATACACAGAAAGATGTATATGGGACTACCCTATCTCTCTCACACGACCATGAGAGAAATAAATTTACCAAATATATGAATTAGTAGGCGGTTTCCCGGCAATTTTTTTATCATCATGTATTAGTCAAAACATATTCTTTCACATGATTGGTAATGAGAGCTTCCATTTCATTTTTTGAAATTGGGGCGTTACCAATACTGGTCTTTACCTTTAAGAAGTGTTATCTGAACACAGTCATTAGCATGTTTATGAACAATGTACCTGATCACCCATTCCCTTGTGGATAAGACTAGTTGTACATGTAAAGGTGTATCTGTGTCAGAATATAACCCGTTTCTGTGAAAAACAGATGATAATTGAGGACTTGCATCCATTTAGATTCATGTTATCTGAGTGATAGATACTGGAAGGAGTTTGAGAAGCAATGTCTCAACACAGTCATTAGCATGTATAATGTATCTGGTCATAGATCTGCTCCCCATGTGTACATATAATATCCAGCCCCTGGTGATTGAGAAGTGAATGAAAATTGTGCTGTAAAAAAAAAGAATCTGTTCTGATATTGTCATGAAAAAAGTAATCGCACAAGGGTCATGCAGGTTTTTGTAAATTTGCCTGTATCTGACACCACTGTAATGCTAATGGGTTGAGAAGCAATGTCTCAACACAGTCTAATTGTAGCATAGTATCTGGTCATCCATCCGATGTGTTGTGTGTCATACACATTAACTGTACATTGATGTGTATCATATAACCAGAACCATGCAGTCCTTAATGATTGAGAACGACCATGCAAGAAAATTGTACCGTGAAAATTGTAGTGTGAAAATATTCATTATAATGCACTTTGCCATTTAAAATTGTATGATACTATACATGTAGTGCAGACTATTTTCTTGCACACTAATGTCTGTGTACATTCAAGTGAAGTTTAATGAGCCATACATGTATGACCATTGTGTGCAAACATTGATTCAACCGTTTTGACAATTTGTTGGATTTAGCAATGACAGCACATACTGTACATTAAGTGATAAACTGCTTGTGTGGTGTGTGTTTGTGTGATCTTTAATAATCCAGAGACTATATGCAATGAACATTTCATTATCGTATTTCTTTTATTCTTTTGTACAGGAAAAACGGGTCAGGAGCGAGCACTTTGGAGATTTTTACTGTTATGTACAGGTAAATATATCATTAATCTTGATATTCATGAATTCATATGATTGTTTCCAGGCCTTAAATTAATCGACGGCCATCGACGGCCAGGCCGTCGATGCCCCTATGACTGGCCGCGGTGCCCTCCCAAAAAAAGATAAATTCACGGCCAAAAAGGCCGTGCCCTTTTTTTCAAACTGGCCGACGTGCCTTTTTTTCCAACTGGACGTGCCCTTTTTTTTTAAAATTTGCGCACATAAAACCACCAATTGCGCCCATAATCATCTAAAACTAGACGGCAAGGCGCAAGTGTTTTCCGTGAAAATGCGCCCATAAATTATTAGAACAGTAAAAATACACGAATCACGAACAGTCTGCCGCCCACGAGCTCTCTTCTAGCTTCGTATTTAGTGCTTTAATAAGGCGCAAGTGCCGTGAAAATGCGCCCTTTGTTATTATATAGGCAATGCGCTAGCGCACGTACAATCACGCGATCGCATGATATGCATATGGTGCATGCTGTTGACGCACGCACGTACGTACGTACGTACAAATCGAAGGCCAGGATCAAGAAAACAAATCGTCAAATGGAGAAATAAACAAGCATTCAAATAGTCATTAGAGATCTGTCGAGGTTTGTTTGTAGGTCTAGTTTATTATTTATCTCAAATAGAATTTAGAATTATCTTATTAATAAGTTAAGAACACCTACGATGTTCTCGATCGTAGTTACTCTCATTTTGCCACCAGCCGACCTCGCTTCAAAAAGCTACCCCGCCAGCTTCCCAAGACGAACGTTTCGAGTCCCGGTAAAATTACGCGCTGCGAATCTCCGAGGGTGCATCGGTTTCGCTGGCAAACTTCCAGCCCGACAGCTTCCCACCAAAAGTGGCGAGAGTGTGTGTGCGAGGAACGATTTTGGTTTCGTGAATGCACGTTACGCAACTGAGCTGAGCGTGTCACTTTCAGCTGTCGAATGTCTTATAAGGACATTTTTACATCTTATTTCATTAGTTAGGCCTATCTAGACCTTTCTATACAACAGTTAAAAAGATAATTTCTTCAAATTTGCTCCTACTACCGAGAGAGTGGCGGAAGGTTTGTGTGTGAGGTGCGATTTTGATTTGGGATACCCGGCCCGGTAAACTTGCCAAGTCCTTCTGACTTTCGTGTTTGTGAAATTGACAATTTATTTATTCATTTGCTCATCAATATTTTTAGTTACTTTAAAATACTGTTTAATGTGCAAGTTTGATGTTCTTAATCAATCTTTCCTGTTCATATTGTTAAGATTAAAAAGTTATTAAATTGATCGTTCGATCTATTCACATTATGAAATTAACATTTGTAGACTCTCTTTGAACTTATGATTAGATAAGGGGGCCTATCTCTTTTTGGAAAATTGCCCCTTGCTCTGGTAAATTCCCGTGGCAAAGGGCAACTTAAAAAAAAAATTGCCCCTTGCTCCTGGCTGCTAAATCTAAGGCTTGCGGGCCGCCGCCTTGTTTGTATGTACCGTAGACCTCTATACATTCTGTGAAGAAGCTGGTGCTAAAAGTCATGGGAAATTGATCCCGCACAAGTTTCATAAAATACACATGACATCTAACAAAAATAGAATCAATTTTTTTGGCCTCATACTCGATGCCCTTTTTGTAAAATATTTTGGCCTCGATGCCCTTTTTGTAAAAATATTTTGGCCTTGGTGCCCTTAAAAATATGAGGTAGGGATCTACTCGAGGCCAAACTGGCCTTGCCCTAAAAATGACGAAATTTAAGGCCTGTGTTTCATTTTTTGTTGTTGGGGGGGGGGGGGAACAGAGAGTGAGAATCAATGGGGAGGGTTATCAATGCATTTGCAACATTTAGACACAAATTAGAATGTGCCATTGCCCTTTTCTTTAATATATTTGATAGAGGTCACTGACCTCCAATTGAACAAAAGTTTTAGAAATGAAATGAATCAGCGACAGTGATGCTGTTTCTACTTTTGTTGGTATTTTCTACTTTGCACCCCCTCTCCCCTCCCAAGAAAGATGGAATCTATGCTGTCATTATGATGAGTAAAAAAATTCTTCCTGACCCTCCAAAATGTTAGAATTGGCCCTTTGTAGACGCCCCCCCAAAAAAACAAAAAACAAAACAAACAAACAAACAAAACAAGGGACTCGAACTCTGCAAAAAAAGGGAGTAAAGCACTGCAGGCCACAGGTTTGTAAAAAAAAAAAAAGTATAAATTGTGGAAATTCGGAATTAACATGTTTCTTCAAATGAGACCAAAGTCCAATTTACGTTTTAAGCTTGAATGCCCTCATTGCAAAGGATGCGAGGTTGCAAGTCCTTTTATGGGACACGCCCACCTCCCACCATTAGTTACCTGCTTCACAAAAATTTGAAATAAATATTTGAAATAATGCTGCTATTCCATTGGCCAGCTTTTGTCAAGAAAGAAACCAATAAAGCGTGAACTTTGAATTGCCATGGATAGATACATGAAAATATATTTGTTAATATTTGGTGCATTTGGCCTGTGCCATATTGTTATACTATTTCTATCGCAGTGTGTTTACATAATATATGCCGTGGAAGATTGTGCAACCTGGGCTTTTTCTTCAGTTTGGGTACATTTCTCCCGTCGCACTTGCTGTAATTTGTTTACACCCACGCATTGAAAAACTGCCCATCTAGATATACAGCTGTGCGTGCAGTGAATTCAAGTTCTCTCTCTTGTGCATATTTTCCTATGGTTAAGATGGTTAAAAAATGCACATGTCTACATGTAGCTGTGCAGGTGTACATGTGTAAATATGTGCAATATAAAGCTTGTAATATTTATTTGGTGATAATTCAACATGGTGTTCCAGTTTTACATTTTACATTTTACATTCAATATTTCAATGTTTTAAAATCTGTTGATAATTCAAAGACAAAATCAGAGATACCTATATTCAGTGTGCTAACATTCACATTCATCATGCTGTTGTGTAGCCTTAGATATAATATTCTGGAAGCAGTTGTCATGGAAACAGATGCATGTGTATCCTCAAGAATTGATAACCAAAGAAATCCAGGTCTGTCATCAGCATGTTGGAAGCAGAATGGTTGAACAGTCGATAACAAAGCTTCATCAGACGAAAATATTAAAAGCAGTATGATAACAAGTGTTATAAGTGTATAATAAACAGTATATAGTGTAGTAGGATTATTATACCTACACAGTATTCCAATAGCAATTGGAAAGAAGAAGAGGATTAAGGAGGAGATGAAAAAGAGGAAGAAGAAGATGAAGAAAACTAAGAAGATGGAGAAGACAAAGAATACGCAGAAGGCGAAGAAGACAAAGAAGAGGAAGAAGACAAAGGAGTAGGAGAAGGTTAATACAAAGTAATTAGAGAAGAAGGAGGAGGAGGAAGGAGAAAAAGAAGGAAAAAAAATAAGAAAAAGCACTGTAGCAGAATGACTTGGCAGTAATATGGTACAGGTTTTGTCAGTCAATGAGACATGTACATGTAGGTCTTTGAAATCCAGGCTGATATAAATTGATCATCTGTAACAGATGACTGTCTGATGTTGCCCTCTCGCTGTGAGTGACAGTGTTTCCTCTGGTTTCTGATCAGCCATGGGACAGGTTCAGTCATATGGAAAGCTGTTGGGCTGTCCTCTTGCTTCCGTTCTTTCTTTCTCTCCTGTGTGGGTGTATTTGGTTTTTACAGACGTGTATCAATCAGATATGATTATTTACGTCTGGGGACCAACCTTTAAACGTCACCATCCGAGAGATGTGACTCAGATTTGAACCTGCGTCCTCGGCTGAATCAGTTTGTAACTTCCATTGTTAGCTGGATTGCAGGCGCACGCCACAATGCCTAGTTTCTCCTACCTGCCCCTTCCCTATTTGCCCATCCCCCTCGATTTTCTTACATCAATGTAGCCTCATTCAAGACAGAGTTAGTTTTCTCTTTCTCTTTTAAGATTAAAGATTCAAATTTTATTTGTTCACGTTGTCTGTAACTGTCGAGATCCTTTTTGTTGTGGAGGGGGAATCACATATTAACAGGTTCAGTTAAAGCCCCACTGTACTACTTATAGGTACTTGCGCCCTCTACAGTATATAGAAAACAATGCTTAATCGGTGCCTGTTGGTCCCCATGATCCCCTTTTTCTTATGATAATTGAGAGCTGATTTGATGAAGTAACCACCTGTCAGTGACCTTGCAGGAAGGTCTAATCATCCCTGGCCAAACTAGTACAGACAGGCTTTAAGTCAGTTTGATATAGACAGCAGAAAAAAAATGCATTGGACCCAGGCCACTGTTTTCCCAAGCCATTCATCTATTCACAAATTCAATCAACTGCACAGAGTTTTCATCACTCAATCTGTAGGTTTGTGCATTGACACGTACCTGTAGGCTTGTTGCCCGTAATAGGCCTCTTTTTAGGTCAATGCAAACTGACGCGACCAGTATGTAAGAAAAGTCATGAGAGCGACCGAGCTAAAGAGATGGGTGGACTGAAAAAGAGAGATAAAGGGACAATAAAAGAGAGATAGAGAGATTGAGATAGAGGGACTGAGATAGAGAGATAGAGGGACGATATAAGAGAAATACACACTGTAGGAGATTGAGAAAGAGAGAGATAGTCGAGAGATAGACGGACAGGGAAAGAGAGATACGTGTAGAGGGACAGTACAAGAGAGATAGAGGGATTGAGATAGAGGGAAGGGATGCAATCACACACAAATCAAACCTACCGGTATTCCTTGAAAATAACATTTTAGCATTTTTGCGGTGTAAATGCTCACCCTCAAAATACTGGAGAATAAGTCTAGTTTTTGCTCATGTGACGGTTGTCACTTCTTCATTATTGCATGCAAAGCAGCAAAAAGTTATGCACGCACACAACCCGCAAAAAAACCAAACAGATTTAGCAACCACTGATGATTTATTATAGGTTTCCAATACTGTAGTGTAAATGGTAATTTAACAACTGGTGTTTTTTTAAATGGGTTTTTCTGTATTGTAAATGGG